TTTCCTGCATTTTTGAGGCATTTCTGCGTAAGCAACTGAAGTGGTACAGGAATAGTGTGCAGCATCCCTCCTCTTATCCAACCCCAAACAGTAACAGAATTGATTTATAGGTGCAGATAGACATGGTGCATTGATTACTTCCCCCCCCCCCCCCCCCCCCCCCCCTTCCGCAAAAATAAGGAGATGAAGTTTGGGATATGGAAATAAGTACAAGAAATGAACTTTTTAAGTTAATGAAACAATACCCTTGTTATTGATATGCTACCTGTTCACGAGGTCCAACACAAAGATGAAGTCATCATACTTGAAGTAGGACAAGTCTGTACCAAGTAAATGAGTCTTGATGCGTTCCTGGACTTCCTGGAAACCAGATGTCATAAACTGATCAGTGAAATGCTACACTATTGATCTGGGTCCGGGGAAGGACTTGATCCCCGGTAGCAGCGGTGAAAAGGCGAGCGCGTTGCAGCTTTACCCTTCACTGAATGATTTTATCGAACCCTCAAACAACCTTTGGGCTAATCTAAGTCAGGGCATGGATAATGTACAGATGGAATAGGGAAAAACAAGGGGAGAACCCAAGAAACTGTACTAACATGTGTTGCCGAGTTCAGGAATCGATATTACTATTTTTATCATTGACATGTGACCCGCGAAGCTTGATGTCTCATTTGCCGATAAGCATTTCGACGGCAATATCATATCAAAAAAACAATATCTTGAGTGAGATTTTGGACTGAATTAAAAATTTAAGAGGATTCAAATGTTTAATTCATTCAAAGATCTCAAGATATTGTTTTTAATTTCAGTTCTTTGATTGACGCCGAGCCGTCGAAATGCTAGTCGGCAAACGAGACATGAAGCTTCTATTCACAGGCCGTACTTTAACGATAATAGTAGTAGAAACATTGCAAAAAAAACCTTTTTTTATACCTTCCATATCCTGTTGAGCCCGTGATCCAGTTTCTGTCTAATATAATTTCTATTGTACGTGGCTTCAGCGGTCTTCTCGTCATCTTTGTTTCCATCAGTGACATCTGATTCAGTGACGTGCATGGCTGGGTCATACTGCTCGTGCCAACGAATCACCTTATGGTAGTTCAGCATTACAGACCACAACACCTGTACATCAAAACAACAACATTAAAGACATCAGATACATGTGCTATAGCATTAGAGAAGTTTTCGTATGAGTGGGAAACGATACGGCTAATTCGTAGCGCAGTGTAGCAGTGCCGTATATCTTACGATAGCATGAGCCGAACCTAATGACATCAAAGAAGACCGCATTGTTTTCCATTGTTTCAATTAGGTTCGGCTCATGTGAAGTTCAACGTTTGGCCTGAGCCTAACTGGAAGACATTAAGAAGGCATTTCAATGTTACGGCATGTCGTACCTTCTACGTTCTGTAAGGCAGTACCTCACGTTTCCCACTCATACAAAAACCGGCGCTTTAGCCGTTTAGACAATAAACAACTCCAGGAGATGACCCTAAAAGTTTTGCTTCTATATTAAAGATTCTTTTATTCTCATATTAAAAAAAGATTCTTTCAGTATTGCATCAGTATTAAAGATTTATTCAAATGCGTAATTGGTAAGTAAGGAAATCATACTCAAGGAAATGACACATGGTTCGAAATGAGTAAAAGTATCAATATATTATCTACTGTACATTGTAGCTAATGAAATCTACTGCAGTATATTTTTAATGTTTTACCTTACAAAGACCCATTAAGCAAGGCGTGAAATGCTGAGTTTGAACTTTCTAGAGTAAGAAAGGTAAGTATGACAAATGAAGGTATACACTGGATAGAGTTAAATAATGAATTACTTTTATGCAGCAATCTCTTCCCAAATGCTTTTCGACACACCATTTGGGTAATTGTGTATTTTATGACCAGCCGACAGGTGCCAGTCAACTGCTGCCTGATTGTCCATGGCCGAGCGTTGCCAGACTATCAGTCGTACGTTGACCATGTGTTGGCCTTATTATGCAACTTCTCGGCAAATATCCCTGCCCTTAATTCTTTGCAACTGTCCCTGCCCTTCTAGGCAACTATCCCTGCCCTTCTCTGCAAATATCCCTGCCCTTCTCTACAACTATCCCTGCCCTTCTCTGCAACTATCCCTGCCCTTCTCTGCAACTATCCCTGCCCTTCTCTGCAACTATCCCTGCCCTTCTCTGCAACTATCCCTGCCCTTCTCTGCAAATGTCCCTGCCCTTCTTTGCAAATATCCCTGCTCTTCTCTGCAAATATCCTAGCCCTTCTCTGCAACTATCCCAGCCCTTCTCTGCAACTATACCTGCCCTTCTCTGCAACTATCTCTGCCCTTTTTCTCCCCTCCTTAGAGTTCTTTCCCTTCCCATACCCTTTATTTCTATCCCTGCTAACCTACACTCTTATCCCAACACTTTTACCAACTGACTTCAATTCCCACTTCTCCCTGATCTACTTCAACAGCCCATTATATTCTCATAATGTTAATACAAAAAGCCATAAGCATGAAATTGTTGTACTTACTTTACAGAGCTCTCCAAAATGTACATGCTGTAGACCATCCTCAGCAACATATTCTGGAGGATCATCCTATAATAAACACAACGCATTAGTATAAACACTTCTATAAACCTCTTTACCTTGGGCATAATGTTTTCCTATTTTAGACCACGTGTCATTCCCTAGAGTATCCTTTCTTTGTTTAGCGATTGCACATGAGAAGGCACATGAATATGGATACAAATGAGGAATCTTATTCTCTAGAGAATAACACTTGGTCTAAAATGGGAAAACAATGTACAAGGTACAGAGGTCTGTTTGATATTATAGGAATATAGGGGATTAAAACATGGTGCTCAAGTGAATCACACACTCTAGTGCTCAAAGCAAGTTTTCTTTTTCTGCAACCCACATAACTCTGGCCACATCAGTTTTTCTGGTGTGTTTAGCAAGTATTATTGGCTATCAAATTCATATATGCCCAAGTTTTTATCTTCTTTTGGGATTTTAATTACAGTACATTAAAACCTTAATAGGTACAGTATCTTGGAATGATGATAATCAAACAGACATACAGTATACAGAAAGCAAGCATAAACTTGAATCTAGGTTTCCATTCACTTCATATTCTCAGAGATGTCATTTACCACATTTTCAAGGGAATCCTGTGCAGGAAGGAGATACGCAACAGGGGCAGCACAGACGGGGGCTGCCCCCCAGGATTTTCAAAAAGTTAGGAGGTTTTGGTAAATATATATTAATAGACCTACAAATGTTAGTCCCCCCCCCCCCCTTAAAAAATGCTGTGCCACTTCTGCACAAACACCTAGTGAACCACCCCTAGATCCACCTCAAAAACCCTAGATGGTTACAATATCTGGTTAGGTGGATATATGAATCTCAAACATGTACACAGTACAGTACAGTATATACTAGTAAGGCATGTGTGTATACAAAGGAAATACAAACAACAATTGGGATGTTTCATGGTGTGACACGAGAAAGCATTATAGAAAATGCAAATGTGTAGATTTGATGTACAGGTGTAGCATATGATGGGAAGGACAAGTAAAATAGTACCAATAAATATAAAAAAAAACCCAGCTTTCCTGCATTCTGATTGGCTGTATATTTTTTATGGTATGGGATAAACATAGTATAACTTGATTTGTCATTGGGAGCATACAGTGTACTGTACCTCAACATGATCCAATATGACAGAGAAGGATACTTGGTTGATATGATTCATGAAGTGGATTATCAATTGATCCATGGAGATCTGCATGAATAACACAACTTGTAAGTTAACGAATATTATGATTATTTGCCCAAGGAGAAGTGATGATTGGTAAATATTTCACAATCCGTGAGTCTTCAAGCAATGAGGTAAAATATATATTAACCATAATCACTGAGCCACAGTGAATAATTTTGTTTTAGCATAATCTTAGAATTGAATATCAGAGGAAAGATGAAATTGGAGGTAAAAAAATAATGTTCTATATTAGTATTACTGGCAAACTTTGGAAAACTTCATAATCATTGCTCTAGAAGTGATTATCATGTCAAAATCATTGTTCACTTGACCAATCACAGAGAGTGAAACTATATTCAAGTCTAAATCATACTAAGTTGAATTATTAATCTGAAGATTTTTGTACTGAACTCATTGATTTTGAAAACCTTTCTTCAGATTTGTTTTTTTTCTTCTGTTCTATCAGGTCATACAGTCTTACATGAAAAACCCACATTGGGTGAAGAAACTGGATCAGATTCGTCAGACTGCAAGACTTACATTTACATTTATGTAATGTAAATGGCCATTGGTTACCTTTATATTAGAACCTCTGGATCCCAGGATATCATAACCTTATTATTCTCAATATGAGCAATAAATGTTTGTTTGAATCCTATTAATGTAGAAAGAAATACCTGTGTTTTGCCAAGATATCTGTATGCAGTTTGTAATCTTTCATAGTAGGCTGGGTCAAAGTTGTTACATATTCGTACCAGGGCAAGGTCAAGTTGTTTCTGTTGAGATAAAAGTACAGAATCAGAGATTTCAATAGATGGTGGCTACCAGTAGTTGATAACAGGGCATTAGGGGATTGGGGAGGGGAGGGAGGCCAGGAAAAATGAAAAGAAGGATCCTCCCCCCCCCCCCCCCCCNATCAGAGAAAGTCAAGGTACCGACCAATTCATTTGATTTACGGATGTGTATTTCCCAATTTCCCTGTCGCGACTAATGTTTCGATCAGCGCGTAGAAATAAAAAGAGTTTTACATTTAACCAGCGAATTGCGAAGGTTGGTAAAATAAAGCAAAAAAGGGCCCCCCCCCCCCCCCCCCTCCAAATCCCCTAAGGGCCCTTCCTCCTTTCCTCCTCTCCAGTCCCACTCCCTTCCCCAATCCCTAAGGGCCTGCGAATGGAAAATCATTAATATTAATCTACATGTATTGCTCAATACAGCCACCTATTTTGACAAGGGAGCCTTCTACTGATTCTGAATCCTCTGAGAATTAACAATAGATTAATAGATTACTCGAATTAACAATTTTAAAAGTGTTTCATACAATGTACATACCTCAATATCAATCAAAGTCTCCTGCAGATTTGAGCTTAATTCGCTGAAAACAAAACATTAGTTACCTGAGTGTATTTTACAGTAATATTATTACACATAGCTCCCTGCTTCTCATTTTTCTGTTTTTTTCTTTCTCGGCTTTTTCCCTTTCATTTCCTTTCCTTTTATTACAGTCAAACTCTGCTTTAAAGAAACTTAATGCCAACTGCATAGTTGGACAATTAATTTTTTATCAGTGGATAGACAGCAACCTGCTTGGTGTTTGGTTCTGAATTAGGCAATAGGCGAACCAATCAACACTGCAGCAGTTTTCCCATTGGAATAGAAATCCTGTCCCACAACTATAAAAAAATCAACTTTTAAGAGTACCACAAGTATAATGAGGCATTTTTTCTTATTTTCACAGGACAGGACAGAAGGCAATCAGAAATTTAAATTCTGAGATTTTCTAACAAATATGTTGAGCTTGTGGGACATAGCAACGGTAACTACGTGGAGTGGAACAATGAATACACCTCTGCTGTGTTCCTGTTCTCTCAGCAGCAAAAGAAAAACATGATTCAGATGCACTATTAACTTACTCATCTGTTCAATACCATCTTTAATTAAAGAATATCAATTAAAAATGGATTAAACATGGTTACCTAATACATTCATAATGCTTGAAAGCTCTGGCTGCTTTTTCACATTCAAGACAGAGAGTTATGGCTCCTGGGTAGTCTTCCTCCTGTTTATAGTTGTACAACAATGGTATAAAAAAACAAGAAAATATAATTAGTGGCTGAATGGAACAAAAAAGTACTACATGTACTTGACAATCCTACCTCTAACATCTCTTTCAATCTGACATCAGTTCTTTGCTGCAAAACAAAATTTACAAATTGGAAAATAAGTAAATGGTGGCAATGCACCTTTTCTGGAATAGAAAACAAGTTGCATTCTGACTGCCACCATGATGTAATGTTACAGATACAATATAAACAGTATATACATGTAGGTGCATAAAATAAAGTTATTGAGTGGGAAACATATACAACAGAATGCAATCTTACCAGTGTCTTGATAGTTCTGAGTGAATCCAATAGAGTAATCAGGTGCTGTTTCTTCCTGTGTTTTGCTAGAATACCAAGACCACCAACAGATACTCCTCTTCTTGCTTTATCTAGATGTCTGTAAGGATAATAAAATAAACCCGCCCACCATCAATCAAAAAATGCCAGAATTAGGCTAGAGGCTATCAGTTTACTAAATACTATGTAAATTTTTGTAATTTTGATTCCAAATACATTAATAAATTGGAATTTTACTAATACAGTACCAATAAAAAGCTTGCTCTTTCTGAAAATAAATAGCTTTTATTTCTGAAAATATGGCAGGCCATAATTCACCATTTTCATGCTAACCATCACATGGTACAAATTGTATTTCAGTAGGAATGTACTGACTTTTAAACAAATTATTTACTTGATTTTCTTAGTTAGCCTTGATTCAAGCATTTCTTAGTGCTCTTTAGAGAAACAGATGAACAAAAAAGGTAAATAAATTTGTTCAAAAGCCATTACATTTGTACAGGAATCTGAGAACAATGTCCGAACTTTTTGGTGACCATAACACAATCCAATACAATTTATACTACGTTATGGCTAGCACAAAAATGGTGAATTGCATAGGGTTCATGAAAACTGATAATCAATCAATACAGCTAGAGCATCAACCCTACAGTTACCACCCATCATCATATACTGACTATGGTTCCTCACCATGGTGTTTCTACATACCTTCTCCCCCTGTCACATATCGACGAAGCATTCTGCAGTGCCTCCTGTAGCTCCATTACTCTTTGAAGTTCCTGGATGTTGATGTGTTATGGTGAGAATCAGATACTCGTAAAGGGGTTGAAACATGGAACAGCCATACATTTCTGTTTCACGATACTCCAGGATATTCTTTTTATTGACAAATTTTTTAAAATTTAAAAAGTCCTCTTGGTTCAAAAAATTACAAAACTAAATCAAAGACAGATATCCCAAATGTTTGACAGAAAGATTCAGTAAATATTCTATTAACAATCAAAAAATTCAGTGTGACATTTGATATGTGAGAGAAGCAGCCATCTTGAGACCAACTCCAAGCATGGTATCAAAACTATCCTAATTTGTATAAATGAATATTCTGGATCATGGCTATAGTGTTACACATTTCAACTCCCTAATGAATTTTTCTTTAATTACTATCATTAAATTATTTTTTAATTAATGATTAATGATATACTTTACACGTACCTGGACATATGCACTATGATTTTCAAGAACTTTTGTGTACAGTTTTTTTGAAACCTTTTTTGAGAAAGAAAAGAAAAAATATTATTAATAACAAAGTTCTTCACAATGACACACACAAAATCAATGAAAATTAATTTGTCCACAGACTTTCTGGGCAGTCCTAGTAGGACCACCGTGTGAAGTTTAATGTAACTGTGACACATGTACATTGCCAACATTACAGTATGTGAATGGAATGCTTTTTCAAGTCTTGTTTTGGGTCAATGCTTGGCCAATGTGCAGCCACCATTTAGGCACCTCTCAGTAAAGTGAGAGTAAAGTGTAAATGAAGTGGCAATGAATTTTTAGGAGATTTGTTACATTAAGGATGGATTTATTGGCAGGCTAAGTAATTATGGAATGATATAAGGAAAGCAAATTCATATAAGCTCATGGGTGCGGTTTGGAAGATATTGTATTTCTGTTATCTTATCTGTGGATCTAGACTGCTTTTCTGAATGCATCTACAGTAGACAAAACTTCAGAAGTGTCTGTAAAATCTTTCTAAGTACAGTATGAGTGAGTAAATGAATGTTGGTAAAGTGTTGGTGATGTGCTGGCCCAGTGTTAACAGTTTGTTAGCCAGCAATCAGGTGATACCCATATAACTAATCAGTCTGTTTACATGCACAGTAATTAAGTGAATCAAGGGAGAGATACATGTATGCACTTGTCTTTCATCTCATCTGTGTTTCAGCTTTGATTTACCCAGCATTACACAAACACAGAGTTTTTTGGTCTCTCACTTTATTTTGGAAATTTTGCCCCAGATAATATATTTTAAAACAAATGCAGCACTTTCTTTTCCACATCTTGTGTCCTCAAAATTGAAACCACAATCTCCAGTGCAATTAAACAATAAATGCCCAATAATGGCAATCTGAAGGTGTGATATTGTAAACAATAACATCATGTATAAAAGATAATAACACTCACAGATTGCAGCTGCTGTCGGAGAGTGTTTCGATATTCTTCAACATCTTCAAGGACCAGCTCCTTTTCTGTAGCTTTCTGAAAATATTCAGTATGATACAAGCATTCAATAATCAACACTTTACTTGAGTAAGTAACAATTTCATTTTATAATGTAGCTAAATAATTAGATAATTAGAGTGGGTGAATATTCATTCATACATGTAACTCATACTATACATATATACAGTACAAACCTTTAGTTCGTAATCACTAGGATCGAATTTAGTATCTGAAAAATACACCTCTTCTATTGTTTCCAGGACCTGAAAATACATGTACAGTACAACAAATATATGTTAACTACAGTAGTTATGCAAGCACACATTTTATATTTATTTATATGTATTTATTTATTTATTTCATTTAGTAGAACTAGTTTAAAGAAAGCCCTGTTAAAACAAAAAGACAAAACCAATACATCCATAATCCCTAATTACTAATAATACAAATAATGAAACACGATATATGAGAAGTTAGCATGCCGCATTCTAAGTAGTTAAGCACTTAAAATGATGTTAGATTCTGTTACATGATCTTTTTAATATTTTTAATGTTTTTAATGGTTGGAATACTGCAACAGCAAATAAAATAATTAAATAAATACAAATCTTTATATTACATCATTATTTTTTCAATGGGCCAGAACTGAGGGCAGGGAGGGATCTCTGCAAGAAGAGTATCCTCTACAGTACAGTATCTACAGTAGTGTTTAGTAATTTCAATTTAGTTAATAATTCTACAGTGCTTATTATCATCATCATCATGACCCTGGCACTGGGAGTCATCAATGAGTCTCCCTCACCAGAGGCTAAGGTTTAAGGCCTCTTCAACATGCATCCTAAAAAAATTTTGAAAACAGAATTTTTTCTTTACTGATTGGCCTTGAAAATGCACCTTTAGAAAACAGATATGCTTGGATAGATGAAACAATTCAAAAACTCTATGTGTAAAAGAAAATTTTTTAAAAATTGGAATGAAAAAATTCTGTCTTCAAAAATATCTGGATATGTGTGGACTAAGTCTAAATACAGTTTATATGACACACTACAGTAACTGTGGTGACAATACATTCAAAAGTGAAACTTTTCCAAGGATAATGAAACAGAGGACACAGTGACTTAGGGACCTTTCTAAAGATCCGACGACAAGTACAAGAATGAGTATGAGAAAGAGTTTTTAGCTTTTAAAGATTGGCACTATCATTTCTTAGTCGTGGTCATGTATATACTGTAGATTGAAACTTTAGATTATAAAAAATCAGAAATTGACTATGATTCAGTGTTACCCACGTGCACATGACCAATTTTAAAACTTACATGACTCGTACTCATACTCATTTTGTACCTTGTCATCAGATCTAAAGGTCACTATTCTCTGATGAAGACAGCTTTAAATAAGAACATAGTAGATTTTTTATTGTCTTCTTTGAATCTTCATGTTTACTTACCTCATCATCTGTTCTGGGATCATCATCAAATTCACGACATGTGTCTTCCTATAAAAAAATGTGGTAAAAAAAACACTTTATCCCTGTCTTCATACAATAATTTAAATACGTGCAAGGCAAAATAAACGATATAAACTGCTACAGTACATGTTTTTTTGCAGGACTGTGTTGTTGGGGTGCAATGCGGTAAAGTCATATGACCTTATGATAAGCTAGTGCAATTTCCTAATTATTAGATAAGTTCAGAAACTAATACATTTAGGTTTATTCTGATAAGGTTGAACATGCATTATCAGGGTGCATGTTATATCATAGCTGCCATGTTGGTTGACAATAACAAAGCATTGCTCATTAACTAAGAACTTTAGTTAGATCAACTAACATAGTTGCTCTTTTTTTTTCGATTATAGCTCAAGGGATTTTTAGTCATGTGATTCCACTCCAAAATGGTGGCCACGAATTCGGTTGAGTTAAGACCAAGCTGAGAGAAAAACTAATACCAGCACGGGAAAGAGCAATGTCAATTTTCAACTTGAGTTTTCTTGGCCAATATAACACCTGACATAATGAATCTTTGTAGGGTTACTAAAGTAAAAGTGCTCTTTACAGTGCTGGTATTGGTTTTTTAATGTAACACATTTCAATTTTCGGGCGCCATTTTGGCAAAGGGTCTATTGCATTGTAAAAAATCACAATCCCCTATAGTATCTTTATCACTATCATAATTGGTATTAAACCCATAGAATGAGAATTAAAACTGGGAGCTAATCCTCTCCAACACTGCCCCACAGGGAAGGGAGGATAGGAAATGAATTTTTTTAACCATTATCTACAGATGTACATAATTCTTCGATTGCACGTTACGTCATCACGGCCATGTCGGTGCCATTTAACAAAAGATTTCTCATTAGCATCCATTGTTAACGGCACCACAATGGCCGCCATGGTTTTGTCTTTTGACTCTCTTTGGAGTGCTTGCAACCCATCAATAATACATTGTAATATTTGTTTTAGACATGGTTTATTCTATTTGATATATAAATATAGAAAATAAACTTAAATTAAATAATTATCTTATTCTAAAATTTATATAATTTATGACAAGACAAATTCATTCCGAAATATGCTCTGATCAATAATTGTTAAATATTTGACTTTGACATTCATAACGAAAGCACTTGTTATATAAACTTAAACCATATTCAATTCAATAAAAAGTATAATTTACTCAATAATTATTTTTTCAATAAATGTCAGTAAAGTAAACTAGCTAAGATTATAAAATCCTCCCACAAATCAATCAAAATAGCAATCAAAAATAAGGTAAAAAATCTTTCACGTATTGAATTAATATACAAAAACTTCGGCATAAAAAGTAAATCTATGTAAGTTTGAGATAAATTTGGTCTTCGATACCTTAAATACGCTGTCTGCAGTCCCATCTGAGAATTCTCCATCGGCTGATTCTCTAGAAGAACGCTTTCGAGAGAAGATAAATTATAAAGACATTGAATGTTAGATTCGCCCACATCATCAAGCTTACCAAAACACAACATTTACATCAACGATAAATATAACAAAAAATACCAAAAAACATTTTTGGGGTATTTTCTAGGACTATGTATCTGTAGCACTCACGTCTAAGCCGAGAAGAGACCGAAATCTAATTCTAAAAGCCATTTTGAAGGGTTATTTTGGCGAGATTAGATGAAATTCTATCATTCTGAACCCTGCCATCTTGTCTACGAGCCTGTGGTACTAACTGGTCAGCAGTGAAACGCTTGAGAGAGAGAGAGAGAGAGAGAGAGAGAGAGAGAGAGCTTGGAAACGAGTACAAAGTGAAATCGTCCGTAGGGAGCATTCATGTTTTGTGAGAGTCCCTACAAACAATAATGTAAAATATTTAGCCCCCTCCACCTTCTAAAAACGAGTTCTCCCTAAGGGAGCTTTTTCATTTATTATTAGTTTTAAGGTCATAGTTAGAGGCCATAAGAAAGTTTTTGGAAATTTGGCCGAGGGGGGAGGGGCTATCAAATGAGCATAGAAGACCGATCTAGAATAAAGCGTGTGCTAGCATCTGCGGACTCCCTAGCAACGACCACCATTATGGTTGATAACAAGAGAAGCTAATGAGGGATATGCTTTGTTATCATCAACCAAGATGGCGGCTATGACGGGATCCCTGTGACATAAACCCGTCAAAGCAACAGATGGGAAAAGGCTCGAAGCAAAGAGAGACGCCTGCGGAGAAGGCTGGATCTAGTAGACCCACCAACGAATGATTAAACAATAGGTGAGGGACAGGATTGGGACTAGACAATGTTGTCCGTCGTCATGGTACGAGGTTGGGAATGGGGGCTCTGGAGATTTTTTGCTTCGTATTAGACGTCAATATAGACCTCTTTAGCTCTGGCGTAATGTTTTACAGGCCTCGTGTTATTCTTTCAGCGAGAATAATATTCTTTGTTTGAGTTGTAGCCATATTCACGCGTCTTCTCGTGCTCTACTGTTAAACATATAAATGATACTCTATGGAATGTCACGTGGTCTGAAATGAAAAAAACACCAAGCTAAATGAAAGAGGTCTATTGTTGAGTTTACCCGTTCCTTTTCGTTAAAATGTTTTTGTTTCACCTCCAGATTCTTTCGACAAGTTTGCAGTGCAATGATGATGATCATAAGGAGAGGCCATGCAATGATACAGAATTAAGTTGAATTGTAGCCATTATTAACAACAGCTACAGATATGTTTATTTTATTTTGCAAAATTCATAAGACAACCAGTATCGTGAAGCTGAACGAATTTTTAACATAAATTTTGTATTTACTGATTTGGGTGACAGAAAAATCTGTGGCAGCACTATTTTTTAAGAAGCTCATTACTGAATCCGGATTCCTCAGCTTGTCTTCTTTTTACATTCATCACAGGGTCGTAGCAAGGTCAAAAATATTGAGGGACGGGGGGGGGGGGGGCTAGGGCTCTCATGCCACGCCCACAGATATTGAAAGATAGCCAAACGTTCATTTGCATCATAAAAAAGAAATTAAACCTTAAACGGGGCAGAGACAGGGGGAGTGGGAGCCCTCATTGCCCGTCCTCTTGCTACGGCCCTGCATCATCTCAAAAAAATTATCGTTCTTAGAGCGAACGTTCAATAATGATTAAGATTCTTTCATATCAATTGGGGTCCATTCTTTCTTTTTCTTTTCGTTTCTATTTACGAGAACATAAATCATAAGAAACACGAATAAAAAGACCAAAGAAAGTAGTGCGCCAAAAAAGAATGACAGGACAGCACCGTACTGGTCGATCATGACACCTCCAAGAATAGCACCAAGACCTCCTCCTAGTCCCCAGTAGATTCCTTGTAGAATGCCTGAAATGAAACGTAATGAAACGTTATTATATTAACCAAATTTGTTTTCGCACGAGAAGAAGACGTCCGGTGTAACACGAAAACCGGACCGGGGCTTTCAATAGCAGATATTTGAGTTACACTCGTCCAAAAATAGACCTCAAGCAAGATGGCGTTTTATACCTACCCTTCTAGTATGCAAATGTTTATTATTGTCTTGGTATTCTCAAATGAGTTTTAACATTTGAATATGAAAGAGATTTTGAAGTGGATTGTGGTAGGTATGAAATGTGGTATGTGATAGGTATGAAACGTTATTAGGGTCATAGGGTCTATTAATGTCAGTTCAGTCTATACATTTCATTGTATTGAAACAAATGCTTGAAGGGGATAGCGTGAGAGATCTAATGTAACTCTAATATCTGCTCTCGTTTTCGCGCAAATAAACCAATCGACTGGTCAGCGAATGCCCATGCCTGGTACGGCTGGACTATCTTTGGCTACAAATTGGCCGCGTTGTTTCCCATGCGAGGCTAACATGGGAATACAAAAGAAATGACACTTTTTTCTCGATTGGATTTGTGACATTTCTTTTGTATTTTCATGTCAGCCTCACACTCAAGGGTCCGTTGGGACTGCGTTGGTGTATAGACTTTAACAAGTTAATGTAAATGAAACCTATTTTAAAGATACTCTGGCGTTTCGGGCGTTTCGAAGAATGACTAACGTAAGTATTCTCACTTTACGAAATTTGTAGACGGTGTTTAAGTTTTCTTCTTCTTCACTCATGATAATAATAGTGTTAGTGCTCATACCTTGCATAGTTGCGGCACCACTCATGGGCGTGGCCCCAGCCATATACGTCACACAAGTCGACCAAGAAGTCCCGTATGCAAGACCTTCCAGCAACTCTAGAGGGAAGGCCCATAATGGATTGCGCATGGTAGCTAATGAGATAAATAGCACAAAATACGAACTGATCGACATAAACGATACAAAAACATGCCCACAGCGATCTGTCATAAAAGAATTTAGGAAAAACGCTATGACAAGTCCTGTTGCTCTCATAAAAGTCGCCGAACCCATTAACAACTTCGAGGCTCCAAGATCTTCGAGATACCAGTTCAAGAAGTTAAAAAGCAATCCATTACTAAAACCTAAAAACCAAGCTATAGTCATGAAGAGAGAGTATTTTGGATCTAGGAGGACTTTCCATACAGCGCACTCGTCGATTTTGCCGCCATTTTTATCATCGTCGTAGTTGAACTCAAATAAAAAAGCCGCAAAGATAAACGCTAAGCCCATTACGACGGCGAATATGTAGAAGAGGTAGTTGTAGTCGTTCATTGATTGACCGCAGTATGTGTATCGTGTTGTTTCTAGCAATGCGCCTACGATGAAAGATGCTGTTGCATATCCAAGCGAGCCGAATAGTCTTGTCTTCCCGTAGTGCTTTTTCCTTTCTTGTAGCTTTTGTAAAAGAGCGGTGTCCGCCAGAATGAACGTGGGTGCCTCGAGAAACTCACCAACCACGATAAGCACCATTAACCATATGAAAACCATGTTAATCTCGTGGGGATCACGAACTATTTGATAATGCTGGCTTGCTGTCGTGTTTCCTGAAGAGCGTCGTTGTTTTAGCGCTTGTTTGTCGGTATTTTGAAGCGATTTCCTCGGAATGACAGCTTTATCAAGGCTTTGTGCAAGTTGGTAGGATTTTGTAGTCCGACTTTTGATAAATGATTCCATTTTCTGTTTTGGTATGTTGAGGAATTTGCTCGAATGGTTTTGCATAAACTCGGCTTCAGCTTCAGGAAAATCAGCAGCTCCACCAGTCATACCAGTTCTAATTACAATATTAGTTTTCACCTTACAGACCGTATTATGAGGTTTGGGGATCAAAAGAGCTAACGTCATTACTAGCCAAGCTGTGATAGAGAAAAGAAGAACGGCTTTGCGTGCTTTGAATTTGTCCGAAAGAACAGACCAAAATGGAGCGCTCGCGAATTGAATCAGCGGACGAATTCCCGCCAAAAGTCCAACCAGACTAGCATTGAGTCCAATCTGACGAAAATACAACGGCATATATGGGAAAGACGATCCAAATCCACCGAAAAAGAAAAAATAGAACGCTTTATATGCAATTGTCGTCCGGTCGATTTTAAACTCGCTTTTTAGCTTCTGTTTGAAAGTCTGTTTCTCATCGTCATCTTGAAGGTCTTGGTTTTCTTGTTCGGCATCCTTGATCAGAGTAGACTCTTCCATTGTAGATTGCATTTACACTGTAGATATTCAATTAAAATCGACAAGTTCTTTACGTTTCCTTTCGAAAACAGGTTATGCCGTATAGCAGGGTGAAGAAGAACCTGTTGGAACCTGTTAAAAATGAAAGAATAATCATAATATTGTACCTTTATTTATTGATCCATAAAAAAACGGAAATTTTTAATATGCATTTATGTCCAATTCAAATCTCTATGTTCTCAAAACGTAGATTTACTGATGAGAACGTTCTGTATTAGCTTACAGAAGCTTGGCTAGTTTTATGCCTTTTATTTGATCAATGACTCTCTTGTTGGCAGGTCACCAATCTCTGAACGTCCCAGAATGCAATGCTATAAAATAACTTCTTCCCGCAGGGTTTCTAGTAAACTGATATGAATACTTGTAAGCCTTGCCACCGCCTCAATTTCTTTCAAAAAATCAACCATGCAGGCATCTTCTGGTGAACAAAATCTATAACTTTTAAGTTATTTTACGTGACTTTAATTTGAAAGTAAAATTTCTTTTATTCAATTGCGATATGTTAAACTCACCAGTGTAAACATATTTCAGTAGACCGGCAAAAATAAATCTATATTCCAGTTTCTAGTTTCATATCGTCTATTTTAATACTTTTTTTTTTTTTTTTTTTTTTTTTNTTTTTTGTAATTAAGTACTAATTATTATATTTTTTGTCTCAGTTTTCCAATATTAAAAGATGCTTTAAATAGCCACCAGCTATTTTCCCGCCACCCGCCTCAAACACAACTTCCCGGATGTCCTCTTTGTAAGGAATACGATTTCTAACAAAAAAAAAAAGAATTATAAAAACCAACAAAATAACAACGTTTATTACTTAGAATACAATCTGATCTCATGGCAAGCTCTCAACCATATGTATCTATCAAAAGCCAATGTTCACACGTCTGTGAATAAGGTCATCGGCAAATTAGGTTCTGGAATAACAAGCTATAAATGGCTGTCGAAGCGAGTCACAAGAAAGTCAACTTCACTGCCTCCACCACATGCGAGAAAACAACTAGTCTAGAGAACCACATGTTGGCCAACGACAAACTAGTTTTACAACAGAATGGAATCGCCGCAAGAATTAACACTGACCTGTTGGTCTTCAAGTATTTTTATTTCTTATTTTACGGTGCTGTTGGAACCACCTTTCCATTCATGGGGCAATATTTTCGTCAGATTGGACTCTCCGATGGACAGGTTATGGCGTTAAATGGTGTCCGCCCGACTATCCAGCTACTGTTTTGTCCCTTGTGGGGAGTTCTCGGTGATCGATACATACCTAAAAAGATGCTGGTCCAGTTTTCTTTATTAATATGGCTTATCATGACTATCTCGATGGCGTTTCTCGAACCAACAGATCAAGTCTGCCAGTTTGTACGAATAAATCAAACCCAGACGTCAGTTATAAATTCCACTACTATGAAAACGGGATTCTTCAGAAAAAGGCGTTCGGATATAGAAATAGAACAAATCCCATTACCAAAAACTGAAGTGCTCGCGTCGGGAGCTGGAGAAATTGCGAATCAAGAAGAAGCTCAGATATCTGGGAGTGGATCTATAACAGAGACAGAAAAAGAATCAAACACTATAGAGACAAAACAAGAGCGCCCAATAACTGAAAAAACTTCAATAGAAAAAACGAACTCAAGAAAGGATTCTGAGATTAAAATCCAAAAACGAAACGAGCTACGGCAAAGCCCAGAGACTTTGAACCAGATATTTCTAACAGCTCTTTTTATCATTCTTATTATCGAACTGTTCGCTTGTCCTCTTCTTGTTCTTGTGGACGCTGTTCTGTTAAGTAAACAAAATGAAGAAAACTTCTCGTACGGACAGCAACGAGTATTCGGTTCGTTGGGATATTTTACATTCTTTCTCATTGTCGGTGCTCTGCTGCAGAACTCTTTCCGTCAAGTTTGCGATGACTACAACGCTGATTTTGTGATTTGCTTTTGCTTTTTTGCTTTGATTACAATTATAACACTTGTTGGAACTGTGAAACTACCTTCCATGAAACACATGCAACTCCATTCAGGAACAAGACCTTCGCGTAGACTTATTTCTATATTCTACAATAGACATTATGTGACACTTGCCTTGTACATTATCATGATGGGTTTTGCTCACTCCTTATTGGAAAATTACTTCAACTCGATTCTGATGAGCTCAGACGTTCCCTATAGCTCGTCCATGATAATAAACTTCTTTCGGTTTATGGGAGAGCCAATAGCATTGTTTTTCAGCAGTATGATCCTAAACAGAGCAGGAATCATTAATGTGCTGTTTGGTATTCCTTTAGTGACGTCTTTGAATTTGTTTTTGAGCTCATTTGTGTCCAGTCATTGGCACGTTATTCCACTTGGGTTTCTGGACGGGTGGACTTATGGGATATCATGGGTGGCGTGTGCTACGTACCTGATTGGATCAGCCCCTGATGACTGTACTGCAACTGTTCAAGGTCTGTAAGGGGGTACAATTTTCTATATTCGATTCCATTTAACGTTAATTGATTCGCTATTCCACATTTCTCAATCCATCTCTCATTAATGCATGCATTCATTTATTGACTGCTTCCTTACATCCGGCTTTTTTCCTATTTCCTTGCTTCCTTGCTTCCTTGCTTCCTTGCTTCCTTGCTTCCTT